TTAGATTCGGTATGTCAATCTCACGTTCCCGCAAAATAGATCTTTCTTTCTCAAAATAATTCCATTCATTATAAAGCCTGTGATTATGGTTTACGCTATTGTACACCATATTAAGTGTGCAACCCCCCAATTGTTGCGTCAGTCAACTATTTTTGCGTCCAAAAATATATTTAAAAAATTGAAAGACATATGCGAAATTTGACATGATAAGATAGAAATAAATAGGATTCTATAAAAAAATCATCTAAAACTAGAGGGGTAAAATACATAGGAGAATGTTTTTTTGACTCACTAAAGTGTGGCACAATTTATTTTAGTTATTTTTGAAAAACCCATGGCCCAACTTTGATTAGCAGACTAGCACAACCGGTGTTCGTTTTGCTTTCCTTCACGTCGACTTAGATTCGGTATGTCAATCTCACATTCCCGCGAAATAGATCTTTCTTTCTCAAAATAATTTCATTCATTATAAAGTCTGTGATTATGGTTTACGCTATTGTACACCATATTAAGTGTGCAACCCAATTGTTGCGTCAGTCAATTATTTCACTTTGCTTCTCTTTGAGTCATTTTCACAAAAACCTTTAGGTCAGGGCTTAAATTATTGAATCATCATATTTTTTCATCCAATCTGGATGTATTGATTTCCTTGTTCTTCAATGATGATGAGAATCAGATCTAACCTATCTGTTTTCTCTGTTGTGCTTTTACACCTTAGGCAAAACCCAGTCACTGTTAATCACCGTGATATAGTTCAAAAGCCTCTTGTGAATGGTTCTTTCAATGATTTTGACTATCTAATTCATGGCACTCTTTTAGCTCCACCAAAATTTGGTTTCTTAGTTAGGTTCTTTTCTACTGAATCCTCAACCAAAAGCCTTGAAATTTCCACTAATGCTCCTGCATTGGGATTGGACGAGGCCTTGAGTGATGAAGACGATGATGATAACGACGACGACAATGATGATTGTGATAAGAATAGTTCTCGGATACATTTAATGGACGACGATTTTGTCCAAGATGTTAAGACGATTATGGATATAATTCACGAACCAGGTTCTGGACCACATGAAATTAAGCAGAAGCTTGAGGATTGCAGTGTTAAGGCATCATCAGAGTTGGTTGTGGAGGTTCTTTCCAGAATTCGCAATGATTGGGAAGCGGCTTTCACTTTTTTCTTGTGGGCTGGAAAGCAACCGGAGTATGCTCATTCGGTTCGCGAATACCATTCAATGATATCTATCCTGGGTAAAATGAGGAGGTTTGATACTGCTTGGGCATTAATCGAAGAAATGAGAGGAAAGAGAACTGGTCAATCTCTTGTGACTTCACAAACTCTCTTGATTATGATAAGGAAATACTGTGCTGTTCATGATGTTGGAAGGGCTATAAACACTTTCTATGCTTTTAAACGGTTTAACATTCAAGTTGGATTGTATGAATTTCAAGGCCTTCTTTCTGCGCTTTGCCGATACAAGAATGTGCAAGACGCTGAGCACTTATTGTTCTGTAACAAAAATGTTTTCCCACCTGACACCAAAAGCTTCAACATCATTCTTAATGGATGGTGCAATTTGATTGTTAGCACGCGCAATGCAGAAAGGATTTGGGAGGAAATGAGTAAGAGAGGAATCAAACACGATGTTGTCTCCTATGCGAGTATCATATCTTGCTATTCAAAATCTTCTAAACTTTATAGGGTGCTCCAGCTGTTTGAACAAATGAAGAAAAGGAATATCACTCCTGATAAGAAGGTTTATAACGCGGTCATTTTTTCTCTTGCGAAGAATAGGCTTGTGAAAGAAGCTATAAATCTTATTGGAACAATGGAAGACAACAATGTCACTCCAGATGCCATTACTTACAACTCCCTAATCAAGCCGCTCTGCAAAAACCGCAAAATTGATGAAGCTAAAGAAATTTTCGACAAGATGTTGAAGCGACACATATCCCCGTCTATTCGGACTTTTCATGCTTTCTTCCGAATATTAAGAGTCAAAGAAGAAGTATTTGAGCTTTTAGACAAAATGAAAGAGCATGGGTGCAACCGAACTATTGAGACTTATATAATGTTGATAAGGAAGTTTTGCCGGTGGCGGCAGCTTGATGAAGTCAATAAGATATGGAATGCAATGAGAGAAGATGGAATCGGCCATGATCGTAGCTCGTATATTGTACTGATTCACGGCCTGTTTCTGAATTGTAAGGTAGAGGAAGCATACAAATACTATATAGAAATGCAAGAGAAAGGTTTCCTTCCTGAACCAAAGACAGAAAATATGCTTCAGGCATGGCTTTCTGGGAAACAAGTAACAGAGGGCCAGGTTACAGATATGGGACACAATCAATTGGAACATGGTAGTCTTAAAAAGAATATTAAGCCTATACCAAGTAAATTTGATAAGGAAAAAGCTTTTCTTCGGGAACCTGAGACCAGAAGGGTAACAAGAGAAGGGGGCTTTTCTTTCTGGGAAGGAAATACATGTTTGTAGACTACAGGGAGGGAAGGAAATACATGTTTGAAACTAGGGAATACATATTTGAAACTGTCCCAGATCCTTCATAGTTTGCTTGATGGTGTATGGGGATTGTGGGATTTAATACTGTATAATGGGATTTTGTTTTGCGGTGTTATGTATTTCTCCTTTTCTAAGATGAGGCGGCGGGGTGGTATTTGAAAGATAAGGGCCGATCGAACTCTCTTCTATTAATGTTTTATGTTGATGAAAGTAAGTTTTAGTCATACTCGTTCTTACTGTTTGACCGTTACCCCTGTTCTATCCATAACTGAGTCTTACTGCACCACTTTACTCAATATTGTTAGATTCCTGATTGTTAGATTCCAAAAATTTGCTTATAATTATACCATATTGTGGAAAACAAGATTTTTAAAAATAAGGTTCATTCTGACAAATGTACAACATACATTTAAAGCATTTGTTCCACTAGATGATTTAGGAATCAACTTAACACTGAAAAGTGTGGAACTGCGGATTCCTCTGAAGAACCACATTATAAGTTTTATGGACGGGCATCGTCAGTGTTGTAAAACATGGATGATCTGAACTCTGAAAGAGATAAGGCGTCGGCTTGTTTCTTGTTCCTTATTGTTAGATTCCAAAGATTTGATTATATTCCTACCACAATGCAAAATAGCCATATATTTGAATAAATAATGATTCATTTTGACAGTTGCAAATTGTTCCTCTGGATGAAATTTTGTCCTAATCAGTTCAACAATGAAAAGCTTGAGGTTCCCTTGCATATACAAAATTCCTTCACCTACAGTTTTCTTTAGCATAATTGAATTTTGTTTTTTCTATTTGATGAGGAGGTGGGTATGAGCAATGCTTAGATATATCATAAAAATACAATTTACTAAAAAATCTAAAGAAGGGTCATCAGAACACTAGAAAATTAGAAATACTATATTTACTTTGAAGTTATATACTGAATATATTCTCCAATAGCTTTTCCTAGCCACTAATTCATACCGGTAGAAAGCATTTGTCTTGGTCCATAGTTTAATAGTTAAAAGCATCCACATGAACTAATAATTGTTAGTAACAGAATAAAAAATGGTGTTTTCTCCCCTCAAAAGAGCTGATGCAGTATATTTGTGTTACCTTGTCTTGTTTTATAATAGGTCACCATTAACTATCTATTCGGAAACTTGGGAAAAGAATATTCCAAGACTGTTGGGGTAGTTGATCTTGGACGTAGATCTGTTGAAATGGCATATGCCATCTCTGAGTCTGATGCTGCCATGGCTCCAAAAGTAAAGGATGGAGATGATCCATATGTCAAGGAGATGTTCCTGAGGGGAAGAAAATATTACCTCTATGTTCACAGGTTTTTCTACTTACTTGAAATGCCAATAAATGTCTTTATTTTTTCCTTCTGTTTACAGCCTTAAAGCCTTTAGTAGCATTAGCTCATGAACCTAGTCGATACTTATACTTTGCAGTATTTTTCATGACAGTATTTTGGGTTCCCATCTATAGATCTTTTTTAGCTGACTAATAGAATTTTTTACTTCTTGCTTTCAGTTACTTGCGCTATGGTTTACTAGCTGCTCGGGAAGAGATTTTAAAGGTTTCCGGTGATGCTGAAAACCCGTGTATCTTATCTGGCTATGATGGTAATTACAACTCCTCCATATGTCCACTTCTACTTTGATTGAGTTACCCTTTCTGTATGCCTGGTACTATTTTGACTGAGTTGCATTTCAGCTCTTTTGATTGAGTTGATACAGAAAAAGAGCTCCGAACAATTAGATTTTTTATATGCATTTTCTTCCTGTCTTAAAGTTCTGATGACAAATGGGTCTTGTAAACTACGTTGGATCTTACAACTATGGAGGAAAGAAATATAAGGCATCGTCCTCTGGAGCAAGCTTAAATGAATGCAAAAGCGTCGCTCTCAAGGCTCTCAAAGTTAACGAGTCATCGTGTACACATATGAAGTGCACTTTTGGCGGGATATGGAATGGTGGAGGTGGGGATGGACAGAAAAACCTCTTTGTTGCCTCATTTTTCTTTGACCGGGCTGCTGAGGTAATTACTTTTTCATGTAATGGTCCTTGGAATAATTGACTGCATTGCTTCTAATTCTACTGCATTGCCCATCTTATCACTTTACTTATTCACAGGCTGGTTTTGCTGATCCAAACAAACCAGTTGCAATAGTTCATCCTATGGATTTTGAAGAAGCTGCCAAGCAGGCTTGTCAAACGAAATTCAAGAATGCCAAATCCACTTATCCACGAGTTGAAGAAGGGAGCCTTCCATATCTTTGCATGGATCTTGTTTATCAGTATACATTGCTTGTTGATGGGTTTGGTAGGTTTTATTCTAATGTTTGGATAGTTATGCATGACAATGTTTCTACAAAGTCTTTGTAACCCATCTTTCTAATGTTTGGATAGTTATGCATGACAATGTTTCTACAAAGTCTTTGTAACCCATCTTCCTGCACTTGTTTATTTCACTTGTTTGCAGGCATATACCCCTGGCAAGAGATTACATTGGTAAAGAAAGTTAAATACAAAGATGCCCTTGTTGAGGCAGCTTGGCCGCTAGGAAGTGCCATTGAAGCTGTATCGGCTACATAACAGAGAGGATGAGAGTTTGATTACTCATCCGAAACCTTGCGGCATGGATTTTGTGGTGAAACACTGCCTGTCATTCATGACGATCAGAGATTATTTAAGGCAAAATTGGAATTGGATATAGGTCTACTTTTCAGGAATAATGGGAGATTGCAGCTTCATTATTTTTCATACGTAATTAATTCACAATATATCTGATTTACAGCTCCGGCAGATTCATTCAATTCATTAAGCACATTTATGTATTGTCTTGAGAGATGAACAAAATGGCGATTCTTACACCATTTCATTTTTGTTTAAATGGTTTCATTCCTGATTTTAGCTAGTCCTTTATTTCTTCTCTTCTTATTAGCAACACCTACTTGATTGGCATGCGTGGGACTAATGATTTTGGCTACCTCTTCCTTGTGAATCTGTGATCCTATAGTTCTCGTTTTTGTTGTTTTTGGTCAATTAATTCGCTGGCTATACTTAGACAGAATGTTTTAATCCCACAAATTCTTGAGATATTTTTGCATAGTAATCCAAAGCTAAAATTTACTAATGGTTTAATCAAAATCTCAAAATCTTTAATCAATTAATGTGTGAGTTAATTCAAAATTGTCTTAGTAAAGCATATGCACGCCTGTTGAAGTATAGGGACTTTAAATGATAAACAAAATGAATGTTTAATGATTGTTTATAAGACGACAATTTGAATAGATGATGTGGGTATAACATAATTTATAACCTAAAAATGTGTAATTGATGAGACAACTTATGTTAATATGATGGTTCAGTATATTTATCTTTTTGAAGAGCTGATGTTTTAATTTATAATCGGTGTTATACACATATCTAGAACTATATCAGATAACAGCAGTATTCTTCATTGTATTTTACCTTTCATTAAAATTAAAATTTTGACATAATAAGGTTGACTTCTTCTGTTAGCTTGGTGAACAAAATATAAAAATATTTGCGATAGGGATTAACTCTGAAATAAACAAATGAAGGACTAAAGTCGATTATAATATATTTTTTAGAGACTAAAATATAGTTTATTATTTTAAAAATATATTAGTCTGAGACTAAATCCTCACTTGTTTATAAATAATTCTTATGTCCTAAATTAGAAAAATGTTATTTGAACTATTATACATTAAACAATTACTTACCCATCAACATGTTTTAATAATCTTCATAGTATACGCATAGACGGTCTCAAACTCTAGATAAAATAGATGTGTGTTAAGCAATCGTTAGTTATCGTAAAATTTTATTGAATCTCTGACATAAATCATCCACAAAATAACGTGAATGTTAGATTGTTGTTCGTAAGCAACACGATATGTGGTTCAAGTACAATGTCAAAAGAGTAAGGGTCACTGCATCGTCACATAGATGCAGTGAAAAAATCAAGAGTTTCGACATTTTCGTGAACATGTGTGAGTAAAGAAGTTAGTTCATAAGACTATGATTCATTTTAGATAATGGAATACATGTACACTTATCGAAAAATCTATAAAAATAGTAGACAATATGGTTAGGAGAAAGATCAATTTTATGTGCCTACAAGAAACTAAGTGGATAGATAAAAAATCGAAAGATGGTTAAAGGAGGTGGGAATTATTGTGAATAAAGTATATTGTGGACAAATGAGGTTGGGATTATTGTGGACAAAGAGTAGAAAAATAATATTATTGTGGAGATTATTGTGGACAAAGAGTGGAAAAAGGATATTATGGATGTGAATAAAGTAGGAGATCAAATCATAACCTTGACATTTATAGTGGAACAAGACACTTTTAATGTTATTAATGCTTACACATCTTAGGTTGGGTTGCCTCCCAAGTCCGAGGCAAGTACCAAGCGAAGAACGACAGCCTGGCCGAATACTTGGCCCTTATAAGGGAACACATGAAAAGTTTCGACTCCGCCGAGGTATAACACGTTCCCCGCAGCAGAACACACGAGCCTACTTCCTCTCAAAGTTAGCGAGCACAAAGAAGAAGGGCGGAAACAAATTCGTCGTTCAGGAGGTCCTCGCGCAGCCTAGTACGGAGAAGGCCAAACTGATGCTCGACATCCATGCCATCGGAGACAACGACTGTTGGATAACCCCGATACACACCTACCTTAGCACGGGGCGCCTCCCCGACGACACTAAGGAGGCCAGCACGGTCAAACGTCGAGCCTGCTCTTACGTGCTGCTCGAAGGCAGGCTATACCAGATAGGCTTCTCGATCCCTCTCTTCAAATGCGTTGACAAAGACCAGGCCCCGGCCATCCTGCAAGAGGTCCACGAGGTCATCAACACACATCACCTGGGAGGATGGTTATTGGCGAGGAAGGCCTTGCGGGCTGGATACTACTGATCGAAGATGCAGCAAGACGCTAAGGAACACGTAAAGAGGTGCGACATGTGTCAGCAGCATAGGGACATGCACCTCGCCCCCCGAGCGAGCTCAAGTCCCTTTCCTCCCCCTGGTCGTTCGCCTAGTAGGGGATGGATATCCTCGGCCCGTTCACCATAGGCTCCTATCAGAAAAAGTACCTGATAGTCGGCGTCGATTATTTTACCAAATGGATCGAGGTCGAGGCCTTCACCAAAATCACGGTGCACAACATACTCCGCTTCTACAAGAGGAACATCCTCGCCAGGTTCGGCGTGCCTATGGCCTTCGTGACCGACAACGATACACAATTCACTGACAAAAAATTTTAAGACTTTGTGGCCAAGCTCAGAATAAAGAAACACTTCACGTCAGTCGAACACCCGCAAATGAACGGCCAGGCAGGGGCCGCAAATAGAGTCATTCTGCGGGGCCTGAAACTCCGACTCGGGGACCCCAAGAAGAGGTGAGTCGAGGAGATCTACAACGTGCTCTTGGCGTATAGAACGACACTCCACTCGACCATCGGGGAGACCCCCTTTCGGATGACATACGAGACCGAGGCGGTAATCTCGGTCGAAATAAGGGAACCGTTCAGAAGAACTCAATCCCCCCTCGAGGAGGAGGCCAACGGCGAGGCCCTCAGAGATGAGCTCGACCTAGTCAAGGAAGTACGTTCAGGGGCATCTCTCCGGGAAGCCGCACTGAAACAAAAAATTGCCCTCCGCTATGATAGCAGGGTCATAAAGCACGAGTTCCAGATCGACGATCTGGTCTTACGGAGAAACCAGAAAGACTCACGCGAGGGCAAGCTCGCCGCTAACTGGAAAGACCCCTATCGTGTCCGGGACAAGACGACGCATGGGGCCTACTACCTTGAGAACTTACACGGGGACGAGATAGCTCGACCATGGAATGCTGAGAAGCTAAAAAAAATACTACAATTAAACACTGCCCGCGACGACACGCCTCGTGACCATGAGAGCGCGACATGGTACCATCGCGTCTCCCCTAACTCAACGAGATAACAAGCACCTGCCCTTTGTGTATAAGGGCAAATCGCTCTGTTTGACGGGAACCCCTCAATCGAGAGTCATCGCCACCGTACCAAGATAGGCATAACACCCAGCTCGCGATGGGACGTTCACGTTGCAGAGATAGGTCCCCGATTGTGGTCCATCTTCTTAACCGACCGGTAACCACCCTAGTCACCCGACCAGTTCCCTACACTACCGGACACCAACGAACAACGTCGAGCTACTACTCCCAAACAACATAATAAACATGCGAACGAGCATACAAACAGGCAAACAAGCATACAAAACATGCGATCGAGCATACATAAGTAAATAAACGAACACACACGAACACTTAGCAAAATGAGGAAATTTTATAAAGCGGGCACAAACCCGGCTGTCAAAAGGTTACAAGAAAGGGCACACAGCTCGAACAACAATCAGAATAACAAAAGCAGGGCACGCAGGCCGAAATAGTTTAGCACACAGACCGATAAAACAAAAAGGGGCACGCAGGCCACCATCTCCTAATCAGCACGATCCTCCTCGTCCTTGACGTGCTGGTCTTCTTCATCATCCTCGAATCCCCAGGGAGCAACAATACGATCGCCTTAGATCTAGTGGTAGGCACCAATCCCCCCAGTCACCAAGTCCACGTCTGGGTTGGCGAGCCGAATTTGATCCACGACACTCTTGAAGCCCACCTCGACGGCCCCCAAGCAGTCGTTCTCCAGCAGTCTGATCTTCTCCACCAACTCCCGTCGGGAAGCCAACAACCTCTCCTCTTCAGACTCTTCCTCAGTAGGGGCGACCAGACCCTCGAGCTCAACAACCCGACTCCTGATCCCGACCAACTCTTCCTCCCTGTCCTTCAGCTTCTTCTCGAGCTCCTGGATCTGCTCATAATAAATTTTATCTTGTTTCTGGTACTCCCTCTGATCGGCCACCAGCTTGGACCGAACCTCCTCGAATACCGCCAGCTAGCTCCGGGCAGTAGCTAAGTCAGCCGAGGATCACCCCTCCTTGTTCAGCATGAGAGTCGCCTCAAACGCCCTCACCATCGAAGCCATGTCTTTGAACAACATCCTCCTTCGAGCCTCCTTGTCCATGGCCAAGATGCTCTTCGCCTCCTCAGGTGCCACAGCAGGAACATTCCCCGTGAAGAAATTTGGTCGGAGGCAACAAGGGGTAAGAACAAAGCTCCGTTACGGGGATCCGTCCTCCAGGTCAATCGGGGACACCTCAATCTCCCCCGTCTTTTGTGGGCCGACGACTGCGTCGAGGAGCCATTGCCTTGCGGCGACGAAGCCAACCTCGCCGGTCCAGAAACAGCCTCCTTCTGGACAGCAGCAACCCTCCCCTGAGGACGTCGGTCACCCTTGTTCAGCAACTTCATCACGCGCTCCTCCACTGAACCTATAGCACCTGCAAGAAGAGCACAAGAAAACAGTTAGCACAGAAAGTCAAAAGAACAAAGGAAAACCGAGGACCCACTACCTAAAAACCGATGAGCCTCAGCCTCTATCTGGCACTCGAGGAAGGCCTTCATATTAATGCACCAGGTCTCAGTCAGAATCTCCCCATCAGCATCGCGGATGTACTGCCCGTCCAG